CGTTGCATGCGCAACAGGGGGGCCCGCCGCCGTCTCGCGGGATGAGGGTAGGTGGAGGGGGTTGGGTGTAGTCCGATACACGCTCGCTCATCCGAAAAGGAGGAGAAACAGCCGAGAAATCACCAACTCAATCATGGGGGGTAAGATGAATGAATGAATGAATGAGGGCAGCAACTTGCAGTCAGTGCAATGTGGCTCTGTGAAATCAACCGCCCGACCGCCACAGACAACCAAGCAACACATGCGTGCAGCCTGCACTGATGCTACTCTCCTGAGCCTTGCCACAGCCTCTCCCTGAATCATTGACAATGAATGCGATGTATGTGGGACGTACTGGCGAAGTCGAAGAGACCAATGAGCGTATGTGTTTCATGCTCACCCTCGCGCCAAGGTACTAGCTTCACAATCACAGACACACCATTGGACAAACCACGCATCTGCAAAAGACTAATGTACACCTTCAGCCTCGGGCCCTTGCAGCCTAAGTTTTTCTGACTGAGTCTGACTGTCTGTCTATCTGCCCATCAGTAGAGCACGTGATGGCTGGCCTTTGAGCATCTCAGGTAGCTTCACACATGTTCGACAGAGATATGCTTCTGCCCCTCTCTCGTCAGTGCTTTGATAATGCTTCCCTGCTCCTCCCTGATCTCCGAAAGCAGTTGCACTGTTTGTATCCATTTGAAGGACCTGTCGCTGAACTCTCTCTTTCCACTCCTCCTTGATCACGGCGTCTGCAGCGTAAATGCACCCACACACAACAGACACGCGCATGTGGCACATGCTTGGCTGGCTCATCTTCTCTGTCGATCGTCGTATACATACATTTCTCTACTGTGCACATGCATGTGTCTGCTGTGTATGCCGCTCTCCCTCCCTGTGCACCCTGTGCGTGAGTGGTGCGCACGTACTCGATCGGGTGATTGCGGTGAGAACGATTTGTAGTGGTATGTCTGCATAAGGGCAACCTCCATCTGGTACAGAACTCCCAGCAGATTCTCGATCGACGCGATACGCTGTGTCATGACGTTGGCTTTACTCGCTCGCCCAGAAAACCAGATATCTTGATATAACTGCTTCTTCAGTGCCGCCCTCTCTTGCTCCAGCGCCTCAATCCGTTCCTCAACCTCTGTCATCTTTCTTTCCAGGAATTCCGGGGAGGAACGGTCAGCTGCGAGGGAGGGCTGGGCACCAGCATCGTTCGTCACCTGCACTACCACAACACACATCCACAACACACCCAGAGAAGGGCAGGTACGCCCTTCTCGAGGACACTGGCTCTCTTCTGCATGTACCCACCCACCGTGAGTGCAGTCGAGCCACGGATGTGGCCACACAAATGCTGGTGGCGGTAAGCATGGCCGAGGGGAGGCACGAACGCAACGACGGCACCATTAATTCCCAGCAGCAGCGACGGAAGAAGAGCGATAGACGAGACGGACCTTCCTGCTAACGCGCCAACAGCCAGCATCGTCCTCTGCAGTGTGCCTACAAGCGTCACACGCACACACAGATCGACACACTGTGGATGGATGGATGGATGCCTCGTCAGAGTCTGACGGACGGACGACGGACGGGTATCTGGATTGTACTGTGGCAGCGGGGGAAGAGCAGAGGTTTCGAACTGTCAGAAGTGCAAGTCGGTCCAGGGTTTAGGGTCTAGGGTTCATAGACCGACGATCCACTGATCTGTGAGACAGGACGGCTGTTGAGTCTTTGTCCGTTCCATGAGACAGGCCATGGCGGACAGGACGTCAGACAGGATGGAC